ATTGTCATGGCTGTGGGTGGCCTCTGCTCACTGCCACCAAAAGCACAGGTGGCGGTTGTGGGCAATCCCTGCTCACTGCCCACAACTCGCCACCCCCCTGACACTGCTGCTGACACCAGCTGTGGGTGGTTCCCACTCACCACCACTGACAGCATGGATGGCAGCTGTGGGCAGCCCCCACTCACCACGTGCCGCATGCCACCCTCCCCCACCACCAGCACTACTGAAGGCAACTGGGGGCAGACCCCGTTCGCCACTCCCTCCCCACCGCCAGCACCACCAGCAGCAGCTGCAGGAGGTCCCGGCTCACTGCCATGGTGCCCCCCAGTCATGGGAGGCACCAGTCGTTCATGGTCTTGTCCTAGTTACACTTGGTTAGGTTGACTGTAAATCCCACACCATGGATTGACTGTAGGACTGCTCTTATTCTTTGAATGTGGTTTGACAACATATCAGTGAATATTATGATGTCATCTAAGTAGACAGCTGCGTATTTTCATAGATATTAGGGCTGGAAGGGACCTTGGAGGATCATTGAGTCCAGCCCCCCACCCAAAGGCAGGAAGTCAGCTGTGGTCATAGGATCCCAGCAAGATAAGCATCCAATGTTTTCTTGAAGGTGTCCAATGTAAATGCTTGAACCACCTCCGATGGCAGGCTGTTCCAGACCTTGGGGGCTCGGACAGTAAAGAAATTCTTCCTTATGTCCAGCCTGAAATGGTCTTGCAGTAGTTTATAACTGTTTGACCACGTCATCCCTTGGGGCACTCTGGTGAACAAACGTTCCCCCAGATCCTGGTGGTAACCCCTGATAAACTTCTAGGTGGCCATCAGATCACCCCTGAGCCTGTGCTTTTCCAGGCTAAAAAGCCCCATGGCTCTCAGCCTGTCGTTGTAAGGTCTGTTTTCCCACCTCTGATCATGTGCATGGCTCTTCTCTGGACTCTCTCAAGCTTCTCCACATGATTTTTGAATTGTGGAGCCCAAAACTGGACTCAGTACTCCAGCTGCGGCCTCACCAAGGCCCAGTACTAGAGGAGAATGTTGTCCCAGGATTTGCTTGAGAAGCATCTATGGATGCAAGCCAGCATTTTCGTCGCTTTACTAGCTGCAGCATCGCATTGCAGGCTCATGTTCATCTTGTGGTCAATGATGACCCCCAAGTCTCTTTCTTCCATAGTGCTAGCCAGCATAGCACTGCCGAGCCTATAAGGATGCTGCAGGTTTTTCTTCCCGAGGTGGAGAACCTTGCATTTTTCAATGTTAAACACCATCAGGTTCTCGTCCACCCATTCACTGAGCCTGTCCAGGTCAGCCTGGATCGCCTTGCTGTCTTCAGGTGGGGATGCTTTGCCCCAAAGTTTGATGTCATCAGCAAACTTGGCCAGTCTGCTTCTGACTCCAATGTCCACATCATTAATGAAAATGTTGAACAATATGGGTCCAAAGACAGAGCCTTGGGGGACCCCAGTGATCACAGGGCACCATGACAATTGATTTCCATCAACTACCACCCTCTGGGTCCAACCACGAAGCCAGTTTCCCAGCCAGTGGATCATGGTGGACCCAAGGCCACAATTGGCCAGTTTTGCCAAGAGGTGATTATGGGATACCAGATCGAAGGCTTTTTTGAAGTCAAGATATATGACATCAATCTCTTCTTCCTTGTCCAGGTGATAGGTCACTAGGTCATAAAAGGAAGCGAGATTGGTCAGGCAAGACCTACCCACAACAAACCTGTGCTGGCTATCCCTCAGGATGTTGGTGTCAGCCAGTCCATTAAGGATGGCCTCTTTAATAAACTTTTCTAAGACCTTCCCTGGGATAGAGGTCAGGCTAATACAGGTCTGACAAGTATATTCTCCTACTGGGATGTCTTTGACCTTCACATATTATGACTGGACACATGTTTGGCCTGAGTCAGAGTCTACGAGCCCATCGACCCAGGCCTCTCAAATCTTTATAGGGACCACATAACTCCTCACATCAGGGTTTTCCACCCCCTTGTTAAATGAGGTAACCCAGTGAATGCCCACAGTCTATCTGGGAGCAGTCTCAAGCCTGATGCCCCTTTTCCCCATACTGGAAGCAGGTTAGTTGGGTTTCTGGCCTTCTGCACAGACTGTGGTGTTTCCCTAGGGGTAACAGGGTCCTGACAGGGTAAGTTGCAGACCCCTCCCCGAGCTGGGGTCGGGGAGGTGACAGGCTGCCACTTAGTAAATCACCCTCCATGTCATCCCTACAGACACCTTGCACCCACTAAGCTTTCCCCTACCACTTAGTGGCCAACTCCCCCAGAGATCCCAACACTCAAGTTCCACACCCAGAAAGTCCTCTACCCGCCTAATGGCTTCCTCTAGCATGGCTATGTGGAGGCGGTACACCTACTTGTGCATCTCCACCAGGAGGACAGCACAAAATAGCTCCAGTGACACCAGTTCCAAAGTCTCCCCTGCTAATTGGGTATCTGGGTGGAGCCACTGGGTACATAAATCCTTTAGTCTTAGCCATTGCTTGGGGATGGGTGTGGAGGTTCTAGGCCTTGGTTCTAAACCACCACCAATAGGTATCTTCAGTGAGGCCCAGGCAATTGAGAATTTCTGCTTTAAGCATCTTATAGTCCTGAACCACTTCTGACCCCAAGGCAGGATAAACACCTTGGGCTTCCCCCATAAGAAGTGGGGCCACCCACATGGTGTTAGTGTCCTGAGCCTACTGGTACACCTCCACCACATGTTCAAGCATGACCAAGAAGGCTTCTAGGTCATCAGCCAGCCCCCTCAAAAACTAGGCTCACTCCTGAGATGCACAGGGTCCCCACCCCCTTGGCCAAGGTTCCTCCACCATACCATTTGCTGCTGTAGGAAATCCTGCTGTTGCAGCTTCAGGTCTCTTTGAATTGCTGCTGCTGGAGATAGTTAAGTTGCTGCTGTTGCAGCTGGAGCTCCTACAAGAGAGCCTCCTTTTCCACCTTGGGAGAGAGGTTCAGACTGCCCACGTTCTCCACCAGCTGCAGCTTACCACCTAGCTATCCTGGCTCTGCCAGGCTCAAATAAGTCCTTGAAGCCTTGAGCTAACTCCCAGGGCCAGATTATCTGCCCCCCGCTGCCGTCTGTCTTTGGGCTTCACAACAAAAACAATAATGTCCTGGGTTCTTCCACACCACAGAGCACAACAGAAAACATAAGGTCCAAAACAAGTTCAAGCCCTGGGTTAAACAGCACCACAGAGCGCAACATGAAGTGCTAACAGTCCACCATGAACATACAGCAGCCTGGGTTAGCTCATACCCTGTACTCTCTTTTCCTCCTTGGAGAGACCTGCCCTTTACACAGGCAATTCCCCCTCCAGGTCCTCTCTCACTTCCTCTTCCTGTTTGCTTTTATTTCTGAGTCAGCCAGTCAACTTCCCCTCATTTACTAATTGACTGAGCCAGCTGCAGCCCCTTAGGTAGGCAGCCTGCTAACCAGCTGGCTAATTGTTCCAGGCTGGAAGCCTGCAGCTTGTTACAGTACCCTTTAAGGTGTGACATTTGGTGTTGTTTTCTTTTGAAACAGGATCTTTACATTTGTTTCATACCACAGGACAAAGTCTGTTTTCACTCTATCTTAAAGTCCCAAATGAATCTAAGATCTCCCCAGTGTGTATTGCGGTAGCTGTTTAAGTCTTGAGATGAGAGCTACTGCTGCTATAAAGTAATGAATTTATGTAGCTTTTCAGGAGTTGTACCAGTTTACAATAATTATTCATTTATATTACGTCTAAGTATTTTGTACTGCAGTGTTCTAGTTTTTCATTATTGTAAAATATTGTTTTAGTTTAAATATAACCAAGTTTAATATGCGTTAGTTCTGCCGTATCTTGTCTGTGTCTTAATCTGAAAAGAAACAAACCAGCATGTAGGCAGGAAAGCTCCTTTGCCTAAACCTTTTGTAGAGACCCCCTGCTGTTTACTGTAAACAAGAAACCTGGCTTCTTGTCATGTAAACAGGGGAAATCAGACCCCTAGCCTAACTGACTTACTGAGCAGTGTTCTTTCTTTAAAATTAATTGGTTAAGAGGAAAAAACTGAAAGACCAGGCAACCCCTGATGTCATGCCAGGTACACAGGAAAAGGAGCATTTATGCTAAGGGAGGGGACCCCAGAGAGGGCCCCAGCTGGAGAAGCCAATGTGAAAGGGGGGGCGGGGCAATGATCCCTGGAGCAAACCACCAGGATTAGAGCCTGGTGAAGCTCTGAGTCAGGGTAGACCTGGTCCTTTTGTTGTTCTTACTGTTTTTTTGTTTCAACCTAGCTGGGTAGCTGAGCCCATCTGCAGTTCAGGCCCAGCCAGGATAGGCTTGGTGCTCCTCTTTTGAGTTCTTTTGCAGTTTTCCGCTCCCACAGAGCTGGGGGTTAGGACTAGGAATTTGGGGGGTATGCAGTATGCTGACTGAAGCAACAAGTCACCCCCTCAAAGCCACTGTGGACATGGAGATTAGCACCCTACAGCTTCGCAGGGAGCAACAAGAGGCCCCTTGCACTGCAGAAGGATCTTTGCTCATTAGCTGCTCCCAATTAGCAGGGGAGACTTGCGACACAGCAAACCCCAAGAAGCAGCTCATAGGACTTGCCTGCTGAGTAGCAGGTATAGGGGCACAGGCCCATGGAAATAACTCTTTGGGTGAGCCCCTACATCTCCGACTGCCTGGTCAAGGGTAGAGTCTCTCCAAAAGGGGTGCAGAGACTAGAGACTATGCTTGGTAATTAAGAGTGTTTGAATTGCATTTCGTGTTTCCTTCGCTTTCTTTGCCTTTGTTTACTGCAAAAAACCTATCCTTTTGTGTTTACACTGCTTGTGAAGAGGGAGTTTTGTCTATGTGGGACACCCCAGCCAAATTCAGTGATCCCAGATTTTTGGATGGGGGCTCAAGCTATAGCAAAATGTATTGGGTACCCTGAAATTTGAACCCGGCCCCTGTTGCTGCCAACCAGTGCCCAGCCGAAAGGTAACACTTACCAGCTCTAGTCCTGGACCAGGCCTGTTATGGTAGGCACAGACCAAAAAGATAGTCTTGCCCCAAAGATCTTACAATCTAGACATAAGATAAAAGACAGCAGATGAGGTTTGGATTCTTGATTCTTAAAGGAATAGCAAATCCAGCAACAAACTATTAGAAAAACACTTTGTTAAATATACCTACGTAGCACTGCAAGCCTTGCTTCTTATCACAGTCCCTCTGCCAACCCATTCATCCCAATTTTCCCTATTTCATTCCTTGCTACAAGTATTCCAAAATATAACATGAGGTCATGGGTCGTTTTGTCCTCAAATAACCTCCCATGCATTCCTAACTTAAACAAGAGAAGACAAAAGAGCCACTCCAGTGCACAGCCTTTAATTGTTCAATGCACTGGAATGTAAATAAATAACGTG